CCCCAAAACCCCAAAACCCCAAAACCCCAAAACCCCTCTTTTATTATTCCTTGTTGAAATTAATTTCTTAATAAGGTCATTCCAATTATTCATTTATGAACAGGACCTATTTCCTAGAGACTCTTGGCAAGATTTTTTTAAAATCTTTCTTTAGTTCTCTCTTAAGATCTTTCTTCTTGTATTTAAGGAACTCCTTAAAAGCTTTCACTTCTGCGTTTATAGCTTTATTAAAGTACTTAAAATCTTCCTGTCAAGTCAACCTGAAATGCTCGAAAGTGTTCTTAACTCAAGTTTTAACTTTGTTCATAGTCACATCTCAATTAGCAGAGGGACTTTTAGGATCTGAGTTTTCCTCATAAGTACGTTCAGCTTGTTGTATTCGCCGAGAAATTGCCTCTATTATTTGATCAGTGTCTTTCTTAAAGCCATCTAATTTTTCTGAAATATCTCCTATTTGTCCTTCAAGTTGGTCAACCTTTCGTCTTGTGTGCTTAATTTGTTTCTTGTTAGTCTCTATTTTGGTAATGAGGAGAGAGAATTCATCTGTTTGTTCCTTTTCCTTAGGTTGAGGACAACTTTGGAAATTTATATAGTATCACTTATTTTCTTTTTCTGTATCTGGTGGAGACTTACACCTCTGGGTGTAATAACTGTTTCCAATACTGGAGATAGAATAAGAGTTCTGAGCAGTATTTTTCACAACTATGGATTAGGCATCCACTTACCCTGAGTCTTCATAATATTTGCAGTGCTAATCGAAGCATTCGTTTGAAGAGTTGATAAAGGAGATCGTCTCCCAAGCCTATTCGAGTCATAATTTCGGCTCCTAGATCTGTGCTTTTTAGGAGGCTGGCTTCAGGGACGTGATTTAGAAAATCTTGGAGTCTCCGAGATTACATCTTCTTCTTCCATTTAAATTCTTTTTGTTAACGAATATATTATTCAAATAATATACTAAATTACGGGGTTTTGGGGTTTTGGGGTTTTGGGGTTTTGGGGTTTTGGGGTTTTGGGG